GATGCCAGTCCCTTGGTCCTTCTTCTCATTCATGCCTGCTCTGAGTCAACTTGAGCACTCAAAGAGAACACCAAGCAGAGAGCTTCTCTCTTAGATTACCACCCCTTGAGTTTTAATTTTATGTAAGTCATTGTACAAACTCTTCCAGCTAGAACTGGCTGATCTCAGAAGCTACCATACCGGTCTCAGAGGTTACCAGATCAAAAGTCTGTCAAATTTGTCAATCACTGATTGCACTTACAGTGCAGAAAAGTCAGTTCCAGTTGAGCCAGCTTCAAAAGAGTCTCAATGGGTGTTTTTGGTGGCATCATTCAGTGGCGAGCTCTGCGATGTGATGTCTGTTGGAGCCATGGAGATCCATCTGAAGAACAGCCACAGCTCCTGTGCAGGGGACGATGCCCATTAGGCTGGGCTTGGGAAGTTTGCTGAGCTGACAGGAATGGGCAGAGGGGCAAGCATTGATTCAGAGCTCAAGTGCAACAATTGTGAAAAACAGCTTTAACACTCTCACTGGCAGAAGCTATTATTTTAAGGAAACAGAAGAAACTGTTTATCCTTTTTTGGGATAAATAGATCACTTGGAATTCAGAGCTAAAAGATTCAGAATTGGCTCACATTTGTTCATTTTGCAATGAGGAAACTCAGGCCTAGAGCTATGGGGAGACTTACCACATGACAGGCTCCAGGCAGAGCTGGGGTGGGGTGCCAAGCTGGGAGAGGTGATGATTGAGTATAGGTCTCCCAGCTCTCTGCCCATCACACTCTGTCCACTTGGATTTCTGAGGGCTTTCATGTGGGACAGTGGCTGAAACTCAAAGTGCTCACAGTATGACCCTCAGAGGGACCCCCAAGTGTCCGTGTGCTTGCCACAGATAAAAGCAGCCCAGCCTTGCTTGACAGCAGGTAGTGCTGTCGTCATAGCAAGAACGTCCCATCAGGAGGCCAAAGTGAGGGAGAGAATGGGCTGGGGAGGGGCGTCCTTGTTCTGACTCCCTCAGCCCTGTGACCTGGGCTCAGGGCAGTGGGATGGTTTCTTCTGGGACTGCAGCAAATCTGTTAAAGACACACTTCCGTGAAGGGGAGGTGCCACGTTCCCCACCCCGACTTACACGCAGCTGCTGTGGAGTGGGAACGCTGGGCAGAACTGAGCGGCCAGGTAAAACTAGTGTACCAGGCAGGTGGACAAGAAAGGGCTCTTGTTCTTCAGCCCAACTTGTATTCTGGAGCTGCTGGGACGGAGAAACTTGGAAGACACACATGGGTGAGAGACTTGTGGGGAGGCTGACCGTGGTGCCCTTGTCTTGAGGATCTCCTTTTGTCCCAGCTTCCTGGGACTTGTCACTGGGCTCCACAAGTCACAGAAGAGAAGATGTGAGGATAAAGAGAACAGGAAAAGGAGATGGAGGGGCGAGGAAGCAGAGTATGACAGTTCTTTAGAGGCACTGAGCTTGCAGTGAAAGGATTTGGTGACTCAGAGCTACCTCTTTCTGAGCGGAGGAGGTGGGTCTCCCAGGGGATCAGTTATCAACAAGGAACAGTCAAGTGCTGTAACTCTGAGGAACGTGGGTAGTGGGACTGACACTGCATTTTTGTGGGTTACCACAGAGGCAATTGTCAAATGGGTGCTGTTTGTTGGTGGACTACAACCTGATAAGCTCTGGTAGCAGAGCCAAGGCTGTGCCCCTTGCTAGTTGTGTGGCTGGGGAAGGTCTGTTCTCACATGTAGATCGAGGGCCACAGCACACGTCTCCAAGGACTATGGGCATCAGCCATCACTGTCTGCACCTTGAACTTCAAGCCTGATACAAGGTTAGCTCTGGGCTCCTGCAGGAAACTGCTCAGTGTATTCTACCTCTGTGCCTGCTCATGGGCCACTTGCAGCCCTGAGGGCCTGCTGCTACTCAGGGCTACTCAGAGCCAGGGGCTTCTTGGAGAGACAATGCAACCTACCCTGCTCAGAAGGCCTGCTGTGATCCCAGAACCAAGACACTACAGATGCTGTGTGTGGATGAGGCCAGGGTGGGGTAGGTGGACATATCCACCTGCTAATTCAGTGGGCAGCAGGGAAAGCCTTGGCTTCTGGGTCTCACAAGGCAAGTCCCTGGGTCCTCTGGGTAAGGGAAGTACACTCTGTACCACTTGATTCTGAAATACTTTCTGCACACGCACACACACACACACACACACACACTCCTCCTTATTCCACCTGAAGGTAAGAGGACCATGTGCTTTTTTTTTTTTTTTTAATTTTAAAGTAGAGTCAATTCTATATCCTTTTTCTCTGTAGGCTCTCTTCCTCTAGAAGGTGAGTCTCACTCCCCCAGGGCCTGACTACCCAGCCTCCAGAGAGCAGGAGCTGAGGCTGCCACATTGGCTGGTCCTAGACCAGGGTGGTCAGAGCCCTTGATGACAGGCCCCAACTCAAGTTGGGGAGCAGGCCCCTTCTTTTAATAGAGTGTCAGGTTAATACTTACACAGGGGGATGAGATGCTCTTGGCTATCTTTGGGACTCCCTGCTATGGCAATGCTCTTTATTTACAATATCATACATTCTATTAACATTGGGAATTCAGGCCCAGAGGTATGGTAGACACTGAAGTAGGAGTGGGGTGCCAGGTGTGAGTGCTTCCTGTACATTAGCCAATTGTATGCTCTTTAGCCTGTTTATTTCTTTGGGCTTAGTTTCCTTATTTCTTACACTAGGTGGTTGATAATTGGTGGGAATCAGAAGCACAAAATCATTTTTAAAAATTGATTTATTTATGCATATAGAACTGGGGTACAGTCCTGAGATGCAGGGATGGTGAGAAAGAGAGGGGAACAGAACAGGCAGATTGACAAAGTAGACTGCTGAGGGGAGCAATGGGTGAGACAGGAGAGGTCTGCTGCTCCATGTGGATCACCTCCGGAGCCAGGGATTGTACTCACACTGAAGTGGCTGCAGGTTAGCTTGCAGTGCTATGTCCTAACCCATTGTGCCACCAGGGTTTATTACCAAGATTATTTTTAAAGTTTTTTTTTAAATTTATTTATTTATGCATACAGAACTGGGGTACAGGCCAGAGGTGCAGGGACAGTGAGAGGATTTACCAGAGACAAAGTGGGGAGCAGAACAGGCAGACTGATGATGCATACTGCTGAGTGGGCAGGTCAGGAGAGGTCCCTGAGCCATGTGGGTGACCTCCGAGGTGGGGATAAAACCCTCACTGAAGCGGCTGCAGCCAGCCTGCAGCACTGTGTCCTAATCCGCTGTGCCACCATGGAGGGCCCCCAAGATTATTTTTAAACTAAATAAAAAATGCAGGATATGGTCCTCTCTGGTGGTGCAGCAGGTTAAAGCACAACACTAAGAAGCTAAAGCCACTTCAGCATGATTTCGATCTTTGCCCTAGAGGTGACCCACATGGCTTGGCAGACCTTTCCTGACCTGCCCACTGCTCCCCTCAGCAGTGTACTTTGTCAGATCTTCCTGTTCTATTCCCACTCTGTCTCGGGTGCATCCTCTCAACATCCCACAAAACCTCTGGCCTGTACTCCAGTTCTGTGTGCATGAATAAATAAATCTTCAAAAAAAAAATGCATGACAAGTGCTGGGCACAGAGCATGGAGTTGTCTAGTGCTAGCAATTGTCGCTAGCTCTCCAGCCTCTAATCCTGTGTCCTCAGGAAGGAAGCAAACCCAACTGCCTGGGGTTGGCTGCCAGCAGAAGCTCCTCTCACTAGGGAGGAGGAAAGGCCCTGGAGGATCTGACAGCTAACAGGAATCTTTCTCAAATCCTGGGTACCTAGCCGACCAATTTCCCAAATCCCCTTTCCTTCTGTTCCTCATTATGTATTTATTTCTTGGGCTTTGAAATATTTAAGCATCCATGAGGCACGTTTTGCTTCTACCCTTTCTTGCTTGACAAGAACACTACCTCCAGGGAGCCTCCTGCGTGCAGATTCCAGGCTAAAGGGTTCAGACCTGTTTGGTTTTCAATGCAGCCAGGGGAGGGAGACACAGCTCCCGTTTTCTAGAGAAGGAAAACCAGACACAGAGAGGTGAAGGAACTTGCCCAAGGTCAGAGCTAGGAGTAGGATTTGAATCCAGGAGGCTGGTTATGGAGCAAAAAGAAAGCCCTCCTCCCCTGCCTCTTCCCCAGGGCTCTGAAGCCATGGCGATTAGTGGAGCATTACCTTTTTTGCTATAGTTTCCAGGTTACATGCTCGCCCACCACCACAACAGAAGGTGAACGCAAAAAAAAAAAAAAAAAAAAAAAAAAGGGAGTGAGGGCTGAGAAGGTAGGGGGAGGGAGGCCAACAGCTGGGGAATAAAATCCTTGGTCACTACCTGGGTTGCATTCCCCAAACAGGGTTCCAGGTCACACTTCCTCTGGGTTCAAAGGTCCCTCAGTCCATTTAGCTCAGTGGGGCCACTTGTATGAGTGGACAGGGAGTGGGGAAGTGGAGGGGGTACAGGCTAACCTGATAAGGTTTGAGAGTTAGGGGTTTGCTCTCAGGGGCACACAAGCGGGTTAATATTTTGATTTTTCAGCCTCTGAGGTGCTGAACCTAACTGTGGTGGTGCTGGACACCCCTGTGTGCTTTGCTCTATCAGTCGCCCAACTTTTTTTTTTAACCGTTTTCTTTCCATCCCAGACAGTTCCAGTGCCCGGCGCCCTGAGCCCACAACGCACTAGTCTCAGCAGTTTTCAGCCTTTGGCGGGCGGTCGGAACTCGAAAACTAACAAACTGAAACCAAAACAACGCGACGCCCAGCGTCAGGGCAGGGGGCGGGGGTAGCGGGGCCTCCTCGTAGCTCCTCAGGGCCCGGGACCCCCCGGGCCCCAGCTCCTGTTCTCCAGACTTCTCGCTGGTTTCCTTCCGTGTTCTTCTATAGAGCAGGAGAAGTGGTGGGGACCTGGGGTCGGGGGAGGAGGGGAAGGATTCCAGGAACCCGGCACCCAGAAAAGGGTGGAAACCTGAGGGAGGAGTCAGAGCGTCAAGGGCGGGGCCCGCGGAGAAGCAAAGGGGCGCCCCAGCTCAGGGCTCAGAGGGCCTTGGGGCATCTGGCGAGATGGTGGCCTGCAACCTGGGTCGCGGCGTCGGGTATCTCTTGCGTAGCTTACATGGGCGCTTGGGGCAGCAGTTATGGCTGCGCGGGGTGAGCGCGCCGCGCCGGGCGGCCTCGGGGCTCAGGGGCAGCGTCCCCGCCTCCGCCGCAGCGGCTCAGTCGGGCTCGTACCAGGCGCTGAGCGCGCAGGCGGTGCGGGAGCCGGCCGGGTTCTGGGGGCCACTGGCACAGGATACGCTCGTGTGGGACACTCCCTACCACACCGTCTGGGACTGCGACTTCAGCAGTGGCAAGATCGGCTGGTTCCTGGGAGGCCAGTTAAACGTATCGGGTGAGTGGGCTAAGAGACTCCCATAAATCGGGTGCAGCCATCCTTGGGTCTGGAGATCATGGCATCGTTGGTGTCCCTGGCGCACGATACTCCGCCCCCATCCCACCGGGCCGCTGAGCTTTCAGCCTGGTCCCAGCTGTTAACTCCGCACCTCGCACTCCACCTTGCTTGGGCGGTCTAGGGTCAACTTGGGTCTCCCAGCTGATGTTCGTGCCCCTGTTGGGCTCCCTCATCAGCCTCTCCAGAGTTTAGTTACGAGATTCCCCAGCACTTCTGAGCTCAAAGTCTGTGGTGGAGCAGTAGGTAACTCCAACCAGGCTGCGAGGGCAGAGGTGCGCTAAGGAGGGACTCCCCTTCCAGCACCAGTACTGGGGCAGGAGGTAAAAAGCCAAAAGTGCCTGGCTTTTGTTACTGCCAGCCGCTGTGTCTGCTATTCGCTTGGGGAAACCCCCTGTTCCCGTAAACAAACTGAACTGTGTAACTGGGTTTTCCTTGGAATCCGTTACCTCCCAGTGCGTGCGGGAAGAAGGAATGGCCCAGCGGCCCCGAGTTATGTTTCAGCTGTGTGCCAAAGCCCCAGGGCTTGCTTTAGACCTGCTGGCCATGGAGATCCCAGAAATCAGCCCTACCAGCCAGTCAGTCTTCTGGGAGCTGTTGAGATGGTATCCATTACTTTTATGTTAAGGTTTTGGATAGAGCCTGCGGGTGGGAAAGGAAGATCTAACACTGTGTTCCCTCCCCACCCCCCAGCTTTCCTCACCCAACTCACCCCTCTCATAAATGGAGGAGGTCCAGGAAGTGGAGACAAAGTGAGCAGGTCTGGGATTGGTGGTTCTGGGGAGGAGGAATTTGCAGGTAGTGAGGGTGACCAGAGGGGCTACATGTCAGGGAAAATAGGGGTGTAGGTTTGGGGTGTGGGTTAATAGGACCTGGGGGTGTTCAAGGAAGGACTTGAAGATCTTCATGACAGGGGTGTGCCTGGCCAAGTCTCAGATTGTGTGGTAGGATGTCTCACTCAACCCCTCCATTTACTGGCCCCATCACTGGGCTCCTCTGAGCCTTCCTCTACTCATTTATGAAGTGTGTGTGGTGGGGGGAGAGGGGTGGGTAACAGCCAGTCTGCTAGGCTGGTTGTGAGGATAGAGTGCCAGAAGGTATAAAACGGGGCCCTCCAAAGCAGTGGCTTTAATTTATTATATTAAAAAATAACTATAAAGTTATAGGTATTTTATATATTGCAGTTACTAGTTCAAACAGCAGCAACAGCAACAAAAAACTCAAGGGAACTTTGGACTAGATTTTTTCGCATATTGTATATTACTCTTTTGGCTTAATCAGAATGAGTCACTTGCTAGATAAGTGTTTTCTCTAAAATTGAGCCAGCAGCAAGTGTCCTTGAACTAGTGGGACAAAGACAAAAACAAAAACAAAACCACATACCCTGAGACTTCCAGAGTTGGTGGAATATGCCTGGAAGGGGAGGAGAGTAATTTGTAGAAGGAAAGGGGTAGTGTGACTCCTTGGGAAGCTGTCTGTGGACCCTGGAGATATTCATGGTGCATTGAAGTAACTGCAGCCTTTCTCAGATAAGACATGAGGCAGCAGTGAGCACCTTGTGAGCTTCCTTCCCTTGGTCGGGGTGCGGTCAGAAAATAATTCTTGCCCCCTTCTCCTTCACATATTATTTCTCTTGAGGTGGCAACCTTTATGGCTCCCCTACCAGAAATTGAGCTTCAGAAAACTGCATTGTAGAAAAAGTTTTTCACAGCATTCTCACCTCAAATGTGTGTGATATCTATCAGCAATAGCTCTGCCCCCTGCCTGTATCTACAAGCCCCAAAGGTGACAGTAGGAGAAAGGACCAGGTCAGTGCGTGGCTGCTGGGAGAAACCCCGAAAGTTGTTGCATAGATGAGGTGTCTTGGGCTGTCGATGTGATCATCAGCATGATGGCTTATTTTACAGAAGTGTTGCTCTTGAAACTCCTCTCACCTCTTCAGGAAGATCTGTACCAACTATTCTCAAAGTGTGATCTAGCATCACACTTGAGAAATACAATTCTGGGTCCTGAATCAGAAACCCTGGAGTTGGGGCCCTACATCTTTTTTTAAGTAGCCCTCGAGTTTCTCCTGATGCCTCAAGGTTGAGAACCACAGATCTACCTACCCCAAGGACGATAGATGCAAGTGCTTATGAAATGGGTACCTGGAGGTGATTAATAGACAAAATGGTATTTTGGTGGGGTACAAGTCAGTGTTTCTGGGTGTGTCTTTAGTCATACCTAGCTTTTACCTTACTGTTCTGTGCTTCCTCCTTGTTCTTTGCATATGTTTCCTCATCCAAAAATAAGGAGAGTATGTAACTGAATTCTAGCTGCTATTGTTGCGCATCCAACCACCCCTAAGCTCCTGGAATAAGACAACAATGTCTTTATTAGTCTCACAGATCCTGCAGGTCAGGACTTTGGACAGGGTTAGCCAGGATGGCTCCCTCCTCTTCCCCACCTCTACTGCTATTGTGTCTTTGCTGCTTCTTGTGCCCTCTGGGGCCTGGGCTGGGAGTGTAACCCGTGGCACTTAACCCAGGGTTTTCAGAGCCTGGTGGCTGGGCCAGGGGAGTCAGCCAAAGGAGTTGGTGAGCAAGGGTCTTGGAGACCAGGCACAAGCTGCTAGATTTCTGACAAGCTGTGTTTTACTTGGGGACACCTGTGTGAACACTTAATTAGAATATTTTTTAAAGTGTTCAGCACTGTCTTTAGTGTGTTATGCTCACCCAATCACTGACCTTTGTTATTTATTAATGAAGTGGGTGGGGATAGGACACGGCTGTGTCCTTGAACCTGATCTTCAGCTGTGATTGGTAGTGCAGTTTTTCTGCTAAATAGGATCACACAAGTTTGCATCTGCTCAGCTGGGATGTGAGGGAAGCGGGCTGTCAGACAGGTGACACAGAGCTCACCCCTGATATCAGGTGGGGTCATTGTGTCAGAGCCCTTCTGGGCAGCAGAAAATGAGGCTTCCTCCCTGTTGATGACTCATTTCTATTAGTGTTTGCGAAATTGCTTTACAGAAAGGTCTTTGGAAAGCCAAGTTCTCAAAATGATCCTCTTCAGTCTGAAATTTGCTTCTGCCTTCCATGAGTCTCAACAGATGTTTTTGCTCAACACATCAGGAAGTTGCAAATGCAGAATCAGGATCATGGCATGTAATGCTTTCAAAACACAGAAACTATTTGCTAAACAGCAAATTCTGAATGTTATTTTTTTAAAAAGTGTATGTTCTTACTGTCAAGCAAAGCTCTAGAGAAACTACTTTTAACAGTATTGAACACAGATTTCCTGGCTGCTGCTTTAAACACTAGTTGTGACAGTGGAAACCATTTTGCTTTTTACTCTTTGTGACATGTCTTCAATAACTCAGAAGCAGACATACTGAAGACCTTGAGATGCTGTGCTTCTCTCCCTCATTCTTCTCCCAGTGATTAGTTACTTGCCCAGGGTCTTTAAAGAAACTCTAAGCGAGAGTGTAACCCAATGTCGTAGGGGGAGGTCCTCCAGGAGAGACTGGATACTCCCCAGTTGTCCGAGGCAAGCCTTACTTTAAATAGCAGATGCTTCTGGAAAGTTGGCAAATGTAATTTTTGTGAATGATGTAATATCTTAAAATGGGCCAGGGAGATGTTCTATTTAAAGAAAAGTCCATTGTGAATGGTTCTATGAATATTAACTCCCTTGTTTTTTGTGATTCAAATTGAAGTTTTGTATGTGGGTTCACTTAAAGTTTTGGAGTGGATTTATTTAAACAATTGATAAGAGTTGAAAATGCCCACATAAATGTGTAGCATCTTCATAATGGAAACGATTGCCCTCTTGTGATCTTTAAAAAAACAAAACAAATCAAAAACCACCCCACAACACAAACCCCAAGCCCAGGAATCACCAGCTGGCATTTGCTTTACTGCTTGCAAAGCTGGGTCAGGCTTTGGGACATGGTTCTTGACTGACCATGACTGAGACTTATCTGAGCTTCAGGAATCCGGTGTGAAGTGGTCAGTGGCCCCATTGTTCAGAAGTAGAAATAAAGACTTCTACTCATCGGCAGAAGATCCCCCAGTGCTTCAGTGGAGAGACTGCAAATCTGTATATGACCAATCTACCTGTTCAAGAATTTTACAACTAAGAGAACTGTGACACTAAGAACTCTGCTAGCCTTCGTCATGATAGTGAAATGAACCTTAGAGACTTGGTCGCTCTCCTTAGGCACCTTAGGATGCTCATGGGGAGGCATGAGCAGAGTTAGCTTTGTGGCCTGGAACGGGAACCACAGGGCAGAATAAGGGAACACTAAATGGTGTGAGCCATTGAGTAATGGAAGGGAAGAGCGCTTCTTGTGCTGGGAAATTTGGAGAAGACTTGACATAGGGGTGGTCTTTGAACTGAGCTTTAAATTGCTCTAGGTATTTGTCTAACTCTTCTCCTTAATGTTTGAAAAGGACTTGTTTTTTCCTACTGCCCAGTTTTTTGGATGGAGATATATATATATATGTGTGTGTGTGTATACGTATATATATGTATATATACGTGTATACGTATATATGCTATATATACACGTATATATGTATATATGTATATATATGTGTATATATAGCATATATACGTATACACGTATATATACGTGTATATATAGCATATATACATATACACACATATATACACATATATGTATATATATACGTGTATATATATATATAGCATTTTAAAAAATATATAATAGTTTATTTTTACATTATTTTGTACATTTTTTTTCATCTCAATTGTAATCCCTGTGGGTTTCCCGTCACCAAGTCACCCATGTGCCATCTCCATAGTCCAGCGTACTTCCCTCCCCCCACTGTTTTTGATCCCGTTCCCCACTCCATCCCATAAAATGTCTCTTACCGGTATATAACTGTTCATTATTATTATTATTATTTTCTCGCCTGGTCCATTATACCCCTGCTATGAGCGAAATGGATGGAGATATTTTTTAAATGCAGAGATGAAAGAATTTCCTTCCTTTCTTGTGCCCTTCCTCTTTTTTTTTTTTTCTCTCCGCAGTTGAGGCAATGGCAAGGACCATAAACAATGTGTTAAAAGTCAACATAAACATGGCATTTTAGGGCCACTATCACACCAGACCCTGCGCTGTGCTTTTTTTTTTTTTAGGTGACAGGGCCATCTGAGTGTTGCCACAGCAGGTAAAAGATGGGCATTATTGGGGTGTGTTTCTTTGGGAATGCTGCCAACCATCTGACCCTGTAACAGGAAACTCATATGACACCTAATTCTTACAGTCACTGCCAGGAACTGTTTGCCCACCAACTATGGAGAGGAGAGTGATACATAGATTAAATAGCAAGTGTGTCTTTGATGGTTAGTGAGTGGTTGAACAGGGGCCCCACTTTAGTGTGAGCTTTAGAGGTTTTGCCAGGCTTCATTCAGCACAGACAAGGCCAGATGTTCTGGAAGGTGCATGCTGAGTAGCACGCCGGTGTCGACACACATGTCTGTAAGCTGGAGATCCTGCAGCAGCAGCTGTGTGGCCCCTGGGGGCCCTGATGAGGACGATTTAGTACTGGCAATCCTCAGTGGAAGATATGGATCGGGCCCCCCCATAATTTCTTTGTTAACAGATCCTCTGAGGATTCTGGAATATAGGCCCCAAAGATACTTCCTTTTTGAGGGACAGGACTATAATGATCAGAAGTCCATTCGCATCCCTGGATATGGGGACCGATCTGGTGCCATTTAGACATGAATGGTTGTTTGCTCTGGGTTAGGATGCACATGTATAAACACAAACAGGATGTCTGGCTTTTACCTACAGAAGGGCAACAAAATGCAAACATCTTGGGAAGAGTAAGAGGAGGCACAAGGGAAGGGAAGGGTGCTAGGAAGGAATGAGGGTAGAAGGCTGGAGACAGGTGAATGGAAGCAATGGGGGAAGTGGGGCAGTGTTCCAGGTAGGGAGAAGCCATGCAAAGGCCCTGTGGTAGGAGGCACTTATCAGATTCAGCACAGCCAGCAAAGCCTTGGCAGTCACTGTCTAATTCCTCTATGTGCAGGAAAGACACTTGGGGACACTCTACCTGAGGGTCAGGACATACGTAGGGTGCTGTCAGTTCTGCTCCCCTGCTTGTGTAAACAAGATGTGGGATACCTGCTGGGCTCAGAGGCTCTAGGGAAGTCACTTGTCTTGGGTCCTTGCTGCCAGGGGCACAGGCCCTGTGCGGAGGTGAACCCCAGTAAAGTGTCTGCAATTCTGTGGTGGACTTTGCACAGGTCACTGGACCACCAGAGCCCCCACAGGCTGTTTCCTAAAATACACCTGAGCCCGCTACTTTTTAGGGTGACTCAAGGGATCCAGCTCTGAGTTGGAGCAGGAGTGTCACATCAGAATGTACACACACATCTCCTGGGGTCTTTCTGGGGTCAAGGGCTGGAGTGGGGGCAGGAGTTGGTATCTGTATCCCACTTCTTGGTGATGCCTGCAGCAGTATAGAGCTCTGGAGAACAATCATGTACCTTGTAGGAGCAGTGCCTTCCTCCTGCGGGGAGCTGTGGGCTTGGGGGTTCTCAGCCTGGCATTTTGGGCTTGTTGTGTCTTGCCCAGAGCCACTGCTTCCAGTACCATCAGCTAGGGCCTTGCAGCAGGTGTGGAGGCTTGGAGTAGATGGTAGACAGAATGGGGAGTTGGGGAAGGGGGCCCCTGCTGAACTTTGGTTATCACCTGCTTGCAATCATCTGCTGATTGTTTATGAGAAGCCCAGAATTTGTCTTCACTGCAAAATCTCTTGATTTCTAAACTTTGGACTGGATTGAGACATAGACCCACTGATGTGGGTTTAGTGTATCATCAATCCCCTTCTTCTCAGCTTGGCCTCTTGCTTTCTTCCTTTTCCGGGGGTGGAGTACGTCTTTCCTTTTATTTTTTTAGTAATTCAAATAACTGTCATGAGCAGTATTAGTTATTTTATGACATTTATCTTTGTGCATTAATTTTTTGAGGTATAATTAATGTACCTGGACTTTGGGATGACTCTGAGAGACCAGGTAGGCAGATGGTTGCTGGCCCCAAAACCTATTTATGATATTTATTTCCCGGCTGATATGGGGAATTGAGTAATGGAAACCTGCCTGTGGGGCCGGTTGAAAGGGGTTCTGGCATTAAGCAACCTGTGAGCCTCACCTGGAAATCAAGAGTCATGAACAGGATGTTAGTAAATGAACATGATCCCATTAATCTGCAGGTTTACACGATTACAGACAGAACTGACTTGTTTTGAAGCAGTCATGTGACCCGGGCTTGGGTAATAGAGGGGGGAGGGGGAAGCGTCTTCCGGAAAACCAACCTGCCTTTTCCCCGTAGTTGCATCACCACTTCTTGGACTAGAGGCTGTTTTGTAAGGTGCTGGCTGGACACCAAGAAGGGATGCTACCTTTGTCCTGGATAGCATCTCTGTCACACTTCAGAGTCCCATGCATTAGAGGCCTGTTTGTGTTAAGTATTCTTTCTAAAGCCTCAGTCTGTGCCACCCAGTGAAACTGCACATTTAAGCACCCAGAGAACATTGGGGATAGATAGGGGAGTGTCCCTGGGGAGGTGGCTCAAACCTGTTCTGGGGGTTGGGATCCTTGACACGAAGCACCTGCTTCACAAAATTTCCAGTTAGCTCCTGCTTGTGTTGTCATAGTCTGGTCATGGCAGGGTATGACAATCTCCATTTTTGTAAGAAGGTAGAAATATTACCTTTGAGAAGAGAAGGATCCCTTTTGGCACATGGTAGCACAAGCCACAGCAGACCAGACCCTCTCCTGGTTTCCACTCTAGAAGCACGAAGTGTAGTTAACAGTCATAAATTTGATTCTGTGCAGTCAACTGCTTGGATCGACATGTTTTGAAGAATCCAGAAAGCGTCGCTTTGATCTGGGAGCGAGATGAACCTGGAACTGAAGTGAGGATCACCTACAGGTACTGTGTGAACATGGCGGCTCTTGGGGCTTCCGCGCCTCACTTTCTGGCAATGCTGGCACTGAACACCCCTCTCGGCTGGGCTGTTAGTGCAAGCAGGATGGCCCAGTTCCCCGGAGGCCTGGCCTTCTGCTAACCTTGTCTTTAGATTTCCATGGATGAAACTGGGTCTTGGTGAATGTTGAAGGTGTGGCCTAGCCTGCTATGGTTGCGTCTGCTCTGCGTGTAGGCCGTCCGAGTAGCAAGGGGGCATGTTTTAGATTCAGAAATGGTCTCTTGTCCCAGGAAAAGTAAGTGCAGACACGAGCTGGGGCAGTGCACAGCAGCGTTACACAGCCTCTGACGCTGTGCACTCAGGAGAGAGCGAGGCAGTAAACAAATTGAGGGCTAGACATAACATTTGTGTGTTCTGACTCCCTATGCAAATTATTCACATGTTTCCATTCCAAGCACCCTTCACTTGCCATGTGTGCATTGGTTGTGTGTGTGTGGGGGGGAGGGGGGACAGATATGTGTTGAATGTGCCCAGAATGAGCAGCCTTCTGCAGGGAACTGTCTTGCTTCCAGGTGTCTGAGGTCTGCCCCTGGGGCACTGGCTCTTCATCCTCTGGGGTGAAACCCTCTTTGCTTCAGCCTGAACTTACCTACAGCGCCATCTTGGACCTTCTGTAAGTCCCAGATCATCACTCCCTACCCCCTCGCACATTCATGCACATCATCACCCTCCTAGTGGGAGGCTTAGGGCTTTTCCTATCTGATGCCTGAACAAGTTGTATTGACTGTATCACTCAGGACAGGCCAGCTAGATTGTAGTAACAACCCCTAACACAGGGCAGAGTCAACCAACCCCCAACACAGGGCAGAGTGTGACTGTGGTTACACTCTGTCAGACAGGTCCTCTCTTAGGAGGTGATGTTTAAACTGAGGTCCCATTCAAAAGAAGGAGCAGCTGTGGGAAGTTTGGGGAACATCCAAACCCATCCAGGGGATGCCAAGGTGGTAAGTAATTGGAGGTGTCCTGGGAACAGGGGATGCCAAGGTGTTGTGGGTGGCTAAGTTGATGGGAATGAGGGGATTGAGCCAGGAGGGAAGCAGGATAAACCCCTGGGAATGGAATTCACACTCCTGCCATTTGGGCAACTTAGGGGCCAGTGACACCCCTAGTTTTCTGTTTATCAAACTCAGGTTTTATCACAGACCAAATTCCCCATATCTGATAAAACTATGCAGGTTGACTTCAGGACAAAGCAAAGTGACATTCGTTAACCTGCAGCTCCTGGTGGACACTGTCCTACTCATCCCTCCATCCACACCTCCAGCCTGACCCCAACTGGTCACTGGTCAATGGTGGTTGCCTCACCACCATGCCCATAAGGAGAGCTTCGGACCTGCCCCAATACCTCCCCACCCACCCCGCCATCCCTGCCCATCCCCGCCCAACCCTCACCCACCCTGCAGGCTCATTACCTGGAGCTCTGACCTCAGCAGAGCCTGAGAATGGAGCCCTTGGAAACCGGCCACAGCAGGATCCTGGGCCTGGGGTTTAGCTTGTAGGACTATCATTAACATCTCATTCTTTAGGTCATCTGTAGAGCTTCTAACAAACCTTAGGATCCCTTAGTAACCAACAACACCACAATCCTCAGTGACACCACCGCTCCACTCACACGAACCCCACTGATATCCACAGGTCCAGGCAGAAATGTGCATATGCCCCCAGGGGTGCTGCACACAAGCATTTGTATTTTGTAAATGTACTCATTCTTCATTTTCTATGTCTTGCTCTTTGTGTTCAGGGATTCTTCCCAGACACCTCTCTAAATTGCAGGTGTGGTCCTGCTTCCTGCTGGGAAGGACTGGGTACTTAGGTATATTTGTAACTCACCAGTGGGTGCCAATTCCAAGGTGTACACTACAAAGTGCCCAGGCTCTGGGGTTGTGCTTATAAGCAAAATGGGCCTTGTGCTGTGGTGGTGGTCTCAGAGGAGAGCCATGGTGGCAGTGGTTCTGTGGGGGGCCCTCCTGCTGTGTGCAGAGCTCACCCCCGTAGGCAGCCTACTTCTGCCCAGAAAGGTGCTCAGAGGCAGCTTGAGGATTGTAAGCAACCAGGATGTCCCAGCTCAGGACACCACCCCTGAGCTCCTCTGGCAGTGCCTGTGGCTTTCAGGGCAAGGGCTGCGGGAGGCCAGGGGAGGTGCAGATAACCTGGGTGGTTCCCTGAGGCTGTGTGGCCAGATAGCAGGGCTGTTTCTTGCGGCTGTCCCTGTGCTTCTCCAACACCGCACCTGTTGTGGACGGTCATCTTCATATCTAACTCAAGTAGGCAGAGTCTAGAGGTCCCTGGGGAAACACAAATCCTTTCAGTAGTAGTAGTGGGGTCTTGGGTAGATTAATGAGATGTCAAGCCTGCAGTCTAGTCTGCCTAGGCTGGTGTAGCCTCTCCCTGCCTGGGTCCTGGGATTTGGCCAAGGATTTGCACACTGGTAGAGACACACTGTGTGGAATGGAGCAAATGTGCCTGTGGGCACTTAACCTGTGGGTGCCCCCAAATGGATGGGAGAGCAGGTGTGGGGCAGCTCATCTTCGACCGAGGTTCTCTGAAGAGGGATCTGAATTGAACGTCAGACCTTTTAATTATGGATAAGACCAGGTCAGGTGTGGAGATGAAGGCAGAGGTGCAGTGCTGGGAGTGTGCTGTGGGTGGCGGCCCAGGCAGGGGCCCCGCGGCGTGCTTCTCCATGCCCTCCATGCTTCTCCACCTTCGATATCTCCTCTGCAAAATGCTAACGTCTCTTCTCCCCGCGTGGTTGAGGACCCAGAGAGGGTCCAGAAAGGTGGCATCTGGGAGGATGAGAATCTTCATGAGCTGCAGGTGGAGGCCTTGAAGGATTTCAGAGTAGAGGAGGGGGCTTCTGGGTCAGGAGGGGAGGGGTGTTTTCAGGGTGAAGGCACTGATAAATGTTATCTTGGGAGGACAATCAGGCCAGCTGAGAGGCAGCCCTTTTCCCTTCTTGTGTGCCTGACCTTTGTACCTTGATCTTCTCAAGCTCAAATCAACTATTTGTGTGAGCAAACTCTTTTATTAAAACATCAGGGCCACGAGAGAAAGAACCCTTAACTGGCAGAATAGGTTAGGGGCGGGGTGCCTTGGGGTGAACAGCCTGTGACTGGCTACGCTCTGCAGACGGGAGGCTTCTGTCTCACAGGGCAAAGTCTGTTTGCTTAGTGGGCTGCCCCCGAGGGAGGAAAGGCAGCGTGTAGCGGCTCCCACCTAAGAGGAGGGCAGAGCCCAGGGCAAGCTTTTTTCTCTGCTGACCTCTGACTAACTCCAGTTGCAAAACTTGTTCTGGAATCTGCATGCTGACTTCCCAAATCTGATAGAAACAGGTTTCTTGGAATGTTCTGGCCTTAGACCGACATTTCTGCTTAAGAGTCTGGGTCTAAATATTGATGTTGAGAAGTGTCTTGAATCTAACCATATTTGACCACTTATTTTTCTTTGTCCTGGGCAAGCTAAGGCTCTTGGGATGTCATCTTTTGGGATGGCCCCATCCTGAGGTGGCAAGATTGACCACATTGAGTCTGTCCTGAGGTCAGGAAAACCGCCGTGGTGGGTACTTCCCAAGAATTCCTTGGGTGAGGAGGGCAGACATTTATTTGGAGGAGCACATAACCTGAGGTCTCCCTGGGAGCAGAATCCCTTCTGCTGTTCAGGGCTTGTTGAGGTGGGCTAGTTGTGAAGGGGCAAGCCTGGCAAGCAGCACTGACTAGGGCCCTAGACACTTGGTGAGTGTGGGGAGGGGTGCAGGCTTCTAGGGATGAAGAGGGACTCAGGCTCCTGCTGCCTGTCATTTGGAGATGAGTCTTCTAGGACAGGACTTTTTGTTCCTTTCTTACCTTCCCTCTCCTGTTTCTGGAAAACCCAGACAGCAGGGTAGGCCTGACTCATAGCTTGACTGTGGGCGGTGCTGTGGTGTCATCATGTGGCCCTGACAGGTGTCAGTCCCCATCAGGGCAGTGTTTCCAGCAAAGAGGCCAGCTTCTTGAATCTTCTGTCTAGAAATTCTGAGTGACTCCTGGCTCTTGGACTGATTGGGGTACCTCTCCATTCCAGCCTCTTCTCACTACAGAGCCAGGTGGACTCAGAGCAAAGATATCTTGGTGAGGTTAGACTGATGTCTGATGAGGAGTTAAAAATCAGAACTCAATTGGAAAGGAGGGAGCCTCTGGCTGTCTGGGTCCCAGCGCCGTGCAAGCTGTCCCCAGGGAAAGTGAGGGTACACAGCTCTCCACTGGTCCTTCCAGCTGACAGCCTTGATGAGCTGTGAGGTGCTCGCTTCGGGGCACACCTGGCAGTGGGATGACTAGCACGCAGCACCACCAACGACCCTTCTCCCAGTGCTCTGCCATATGTTTAGTCTCTGATGCCCACTGAGATGGAGCCTTCTGTTTGCTGCCAGAAATCACTCTAGGAAGATGACTAACCAGTGAGCCAGGCTGGGGATGGGGCGTCCCAGCTTACTGTCCTGAAGTCACATCTGACACCACAGCTTGGTGCGGCAGAAGCTGACACTGATGGTCTTTGTGTTCGCGGTCACCCTTGGTTCAAAAGCCCAGTACCTGCCCCCGGGAGCTTCAGAGGCTCACCCAGCTGGGAAAGTCAGAAATAGGGGTTGAAGTCATCTTTGTCCACCTCTGGGAGAAGCACCAAGGACTCTGTCTTCCATCCCCATCTCCAAGGAGGCTGCTGTGAAGGCGGAAAAGGGGCCTCTGTGGCTACTTGGTGACAGGCCCAGGCTCAGCTCTGCTCTGTGTAGACAAGATGCCCCTATGCTTTCACAGACCAGGGCGAGGCATTTCAGATATCTGTGCACAGCCTCATCTCCAGAGCAAGCAAATGCACATTAAGTGCCTGTACCAGCTTGGAAGCAGGAGACTTATCTGCCAGAGGGTACCAGGATAGCCTGGAGGAGAGAAAAGGGAAGGATGCAGAAGGTATC